TATGGGGGGGAGGCTAAAGGGAACTGCCATCAAAACTAGGGCGCAGGGGAAAGGACTGTGAGTAGCAACAACAGTACCGAAGCCTAGCAGAAAATAGCAGACAAGCAAAAGGCAGCAAGACCGACAATAGATCAATAGGACCGACAGCAGGCATAGAAAACAAAACGACGCGCAGAACGACGGCGCGACACGAAACGACGAACGGAACCCTCCGCGGGACAGCACCCGACGGAGACACCATGCTCCGGACGGCACCGGGCATGAGACAAGGCAACGCGGACGGCACCGCACGCCAGACAAGACATACAGCAAGAGAAAGAAAACCGCCGTCCTGGAAGTCAACGCCGAGGCTCTTTAGAGCGGTTTGCCCTGTCAGGCCCTTCTGACTCCCGCTTAGGGGAACGTTTACCCGACCCTTTTCCACCGCCCTTGCCCGGCAGAAAGTCCGTGACCTTCCTGTGGACCCCCGACGCCATGTACCTTGCTGGATGCACACCAAGCTCGTGCTCTTTACCCAGATAGGGTCTGAAAAGATCCAGCAACCACTGTTCGCGGAGTGCCTGTCCGGTCTCGCTGTTCCTGAAGACCAACACAATTGGCCACGCGCTGTCCTCCCTCGGAGGTCCATGATTCGCCGCCTCGACCGCCTCGGAGGACTGGAGTAAGGGTCCCAACGCCGCTTCGCCTGACGGAGCAGAAGGGCCGCTAGCCACTGCAGACTTGACGTAGTCCAGGAACTCGGCGTACACTTGCAACTTCCAGGGAGTCGGTTTCTCTTTCGGGCGTTGTTGTACTGGCAGGGCTGCGTTGCGCTGCCATGTGGCCCACTTCCTTTCCAGGCGTGACTTAAGGTCCCCCTGCACGAAGAAGACAAGTGACCTGCGCGAGCTCTCGTTTCCGACGCGGAAGGCGGTAGAGGAGGCAAGGGCAGCTGTCGACTCAAGCCTGGACTCCAGCAGGTCAAGACGTTCGCCCACTGAGGAGTCTTCAACCACACGCTCGCTGTCGTCACGTCGTTCCCCTCCTCGGCGATCGCGTCCGCGCTCACGTTCACGCCCGCTACCGCGATCGCGATCACGAGTACGGTCACCACCCATGCCATGCGACGACTACGAAGCAACGGAGTCTGGGCAAGGCAGGAAGCACTAGTAAAGCTCGGTCCAAGACACTACGGCAGGCAGCAACATATCACCGGATGCGCTCACTAAGAAGATGCATGCGGAAACTGTGTAGGTGCGCAAAAGCCTGTTCTACACCATGATCACGGAGACAGTAAGCACACGTGATGGGCAGCATGTCATGACTAAGGGGATGAGCACTACTCAGATGCATGCGCACAGAGTCGCGACCTGGAAAATATGCACCGCACTCCGGACAAATGTACGGAGAGGCGTTAGGATCATGAAGTCTAATGTGATTTGT